AAGGATAATTAATAATAAAAAAATTAGTTGAGTAGGAAAGCAGTTCAAATATAATATAATAATATGTTATCGTGGGAATTTCTCTCTCTCAATTTCAACGCGTTATGCAGTCCGTTTAGCATTACTTTTATTCTTTTTGGTATTGAATATAGAATGGTAATGTATTACCAATATGGAGTATTCTTATGAAATTGATTTTATTAAACGTTCCTACATATTTTTAATAAGAATTTAATAGATAAGATTGTATCAATTTAAAATCTTAAATATTAAGAAAATTAGCATATAAGTTATTACAGCTATGTCATTTACCTATGAGGTCTTCTATTTAATATTTTAGAGTTATTTTGATCTATCAATATTATATTCGTGCTTTTATAATAAATATATGCGCTCCTGTTTCTAAATGGATTTGAACAATATAATACGTTTTCAAAAAATTAGTAATAGGAAATTTTTAATAAGTATTATCCTAAAAGTGGTAGGATTATAAGGCTAATATCCATGCCCGAAAATAATTATATTAATAGGATTCCTAAAGGTAATCATGTAGGATTCCTAACGTATTATGTCCTAAAACTAATAGAATTGTAAGACTAATATCTAGAATTCCGATTATGTCCTTTTATTATGAGTTATTATGCTTAATATTAAAAGGTTATTTTTGTAATCCAACATTTTATTCATGCTTTTATAATAATATAGATATAGATAGATATAGATAGATAGATAGATATAGATATATATTGTAAATTCAATTATTAACTTGTGGTGGTTATAGTAAAACTTTAAATCCTAAATTAACATCTCGCCAAAATTAATAAATACACTTCACTCTTTACCTGGAACATTAAAGAAATCATGATTACCCCTTAAGAAAAAGTGAGACATAAACGCTTTCAGAGAATTTCATACTCACAATAGTGCGCCTAAAGTTTTTTCCCTCTTTTCCTTTTGGGTCCTCTCCAACTTGAGTTTTGATAATTTAAAACATGAACCAACATTATATATGCCTTTTCATTGATTGGTGAACCTAAAGAATATGCTTGTCGTTCTTTAGTTCCTGGGTCCACATATTGCTTTCCCCTCCATTTGTATTATTATTTATATTCCAAAGTGGAGTACAAGGATTGCATTTGTTTGCCCCACTTTTAAAAAGAAAAAAAGAAAAATTATTAGTAATTGATTGCGAACTTAATCAATGATTCAACTTGATTAATGAACGAGCAAACTATTACTTCATGCACTTAATGAACTAGTTAATTCTTTTTCCGTCTAATGAAATCTTATGTTAGTGGGTTGCTTACCGATCTTGGCATATATATCAGAAACATCACTACCTTTATGAAGACAGCATTATGATTAATTCTTAAATACTTTGGGGGGGAGGATATAACAATATATTAATCTTCTTATAAATTAACAAAAATCCCTTCCAAATTGGTTCTTATTATTCTCCAACTAATTTGAGTTGAACTGATACTAAAATTATTGCTTCGTTGCGTGTGTTGGAGTTTAGTCGTCACAGCTCCAATTTATTTAACTTTCAACTTTATTTATTTAAACAAATGTTATGTGTAGTTTTCTATGACGTCTACAAGTAGAGAAGGTTTGTGCAATTAATCAGAAAATGAAAATTATTTGTGACATCGTCTTTTAAAGAACTGGTACATCATATTGTTGAACCATTTCACTATATCAATGGTTTAAACATGAAAACATTCAAGATTGTTATATAATTTCAAAAAAGACTATATATATTACTAGCAGAAAAGGGTTTATTTGATTTTAAGGCTGTATATTATAAAATGAAATCTTACTACAACTTCTTTTGAAGAATTTGAAGCTGTTAGATGTGAGATTTGATGTGCCTTCTACAAGTCTGATAATATTTGAGGAAATCAAGAAAATCCATACCCAGGATTCTTCATCAATCAAGTTCATCTTTATTGATATAACATTTTAAAGGCAATGAGGTACAAGAAAGAAACGCACTCGTTGCGAGTGTGGTAGGATGGATGAGATCTATTCACCCTTAAGTAGTCTTTGTTTCGATTCCTCATAATGGAGAAACACCTACCCCTTAATTAAAAGGGCGAAGTGCACGAATAACCACTTTTAAACTGTTAATTTAAAATTCAGGATAAGATTCGAATTTATGGATACGATTTTCAAACTTTAGGACAAGATGTCCTGAAGTTTGAACTTTCAGATTTAAACTTCAGGACGCTGTGTCCTGAAGTTTAAGCAAATTGGCTAATTTTTAAATACATTGTAAAATATAAATATATTTTAAATAGCATACTCAAAAATGACTACCAGATATCATTTTCACTAATTAAAAACCTAACTTAATAAGGATTTGCTACGTACGATAATGTTGATGGCTTATTACCGGGAATCATGGGTTCCTTCCAGCTTCTCGTAGAAATACGAAAACGTATCGCCAACTTCTTCGTGAGTACTGCATGGGCCGAGCTAGCTCAATGAATACGAGTTCGGCCGAATCTAATCGCTTTGGTCCAATCTATGTATTTGTCTTAAAAATTCATTGAATATGTATAAATTATTGATTTAGAACCCAGTAACTTAAAAGGACTAGAGCTCTGAACCCATAATTTTCAAATACTGGCTCCGCCTTTGGAGTACTGAATACATATTGAAAAGAAAGAAAAAAAAGACAATTCATTGACCAAGAGCTTTTCCCTTGAAGGGTATGGGGGTTTACCAACCAAAATACATTTAGAAATATGAAAGTACTGAAGGAGATACTTTTTGGCCATTTGTACTTGAATGCTACTGTTTAAAGCAAAGTAAATACTATCCCTTTGTACTTCACTCCTATTGTTTATGAGGAATCTGATAACCTACTTTCTCCTAACCCAATAAACATAACATATTTATACTTACCTATAAAAATTAAAGTTTGTTTATGCATGCGGTAGTGCTCAAGGAATTTAAGGACCAAAATGACATCAAAAGGTTATTCTTGTTTAGCTTCAAAGGGTTAAAGTAAATGATTCCTTGAGATTTAAGAAGCTAACTATATCTTAGTTTTTACTAATTTGGGTTATGATTGTTCTCATACGCGGAAGTAGGCTTTGAAGTTTATGGATTCTAAATTCATCATCGAACACATAGTTTATCTTAGTTATTGCGTTCGTAATTAAATATCTATATATATTTTATAATTTTTTAATACAAATACAAAGTTTAAGCAAAAACTATTGTGTTCTTTCGAACCCGCAGCTAATGCTCTCCCTCCGCCCCTGATTGCTCTATTTTCACTTTATTGTGGTGAAATACAACAACAACTACAAGAACAACAACAACAACAACAACATCAACAACAACAACAACAACATACCCAGTGTATTCCTATAAGTGAAGTCTGGGGGAGGTTAGTATGTACGCAGACCTTACCCCTAGCTTATGAAGATAGAGAGACTATTACCGATAGACCCTCAGTTCAACAACAATAACAAACTCAGTCTAATCCTACAAGCGGGATTTGAGGAAGGTAGTGTATATGCAGACCATACTACATGGTAAAAGTTGACCCTTGGCTTAAGAAAAGTAAAATCACAGCAGTTATGACAAACATAAAAGAATATAACCGAAGCAAAGGAAGTAATAATAGCGATCTAGAAATAGGGAACACGACGATACCACTAGTACTATAGCTATGAAAAATAAATGCGCTCGACTACTTACTAACCTATTACTCTAATCATCAGCCTCCAAACCCTCCTATCAAGGGTCATGTCCTCGAAAAGCTGAAGATGTGATATCATGCCTGATTAACTCTTCCCCAATACTTCTTCGGACTACCTCTACCTTTCCTTGGACCCGCCATAGCCAACATCTCACGCTTCCTCGCTGGGGCATTTATACTTCTCTTTTTCATGTGTTCGCTTCTCGCATCTTATCCGCTACACATACCACTTCCACCTTGTCCCGAATATGTTCATTCCTAATCATGTTTCAAAAATATCTTTTTTATACCAAAATACTAAATTATTTTCTTGTAACTACAAAATCACTTAATTTCCTAAGTATCATAAAGATACTAGGAAACAACTAAGTTAAATGTCTCTAAAATATATTGTGATTACAAAAGAAAAATATAAACTCTAATTTTAAGTCGGCTTCTTATACTTTGTAATTCAATTTTAGCGTTTTCGTCCTAAATGATTTTTTACATGATATTCTTACTCAATTTGGATTCTCAAGATGTTGCTGGTTGTTCATGTTACATAGATGTGTAAACTATGAATACACATCCAAGAGAGGATGAAATTAAAAAGAAGAGATAATTAAATTACATAATAAATTATGCATGAACTTTTGTTGGATGATGAGAGTTTAAGATGCCAAAGTCGTGCAATAGCAACAAACAAATGTAATACTACTTTTATTGCCACAAAATTGTAGTGCCAATAGAAAATACGTTTGGCACTTCAAAGTGCACTACAGAAAGATAAAAGAATTTAGGGGAAAAAAAAGAAAAAAAAGAAAGGAAATGCTGACACTAAACGTTTTTCTAATTGAATTAGAAAGTGAAAGAAATGCCTATAAAAACTTCAATCACTTCAACATTGAATTTTGATGTTGACAGTGGCATATTCACTATACATATAATTATGGACCAAATTAAATTATATGCAAATAGAATAACATAAATAAGAAATCCAGTGACCTTGTCATAAAATCAATGTGTACACAATTTTTTCAGGAAAATATACATTTATCTAAAAATCTCTTATTTTATGAAAATGATTGATCCCATTTATTTGGAAATAAATAAACATGGTAGTATCACTCTATTTTCCTCTCTTAAATTAAAAATAAATAAATAAGTAAGTGTTTGATAATGACAAAGATCACATCTTTCTGGAAGGGTAAAAATGTAAAGTCAGCAAGAAAATGATTGAAAAAATTGGAGTTATTTAAATAATAATTGCTATATTATTGATTTTTGTTAAATATTTGTGACTGTTTATATTCTCCTACCTCCACTGAAAACCAGAGAGGTGTGTGTGCTCCTCTTTGCACTGAGGGAGAAGCAGAAAAAAGTGAAGAGAGAAAACTTGTGCTTTGCCTCTTTTCTTCATCCAATCTCTTTCTCTCTCTCTTTCTCTCTCTCTAAGTATACATAACTCTTTATATTTACATATATCCCTTAAACCCCAAGAGCTCCACTCTCTAATAATTCTCATTTTCTTGAAAAATCCCAGTTCAAATTCATCCAAGATCCAGCCAAAAATCTTTTCTTGTGTGTTTTTTGCTGAAGGATAATAAAAGGAAGGGGATTTAGGAAAAACCCCTTAAAAATTCAGTTTTTGTGTGTGTGTGTGTGTGAGAGAGAGAGAGAGAGAGAGATTTAGGAGAACCCCATAAAAAAATTCAATCTTTTTCTCTTTCTGAGTGTGTGTAGAAATGGCTGAAGTGAAAGGAAAGAAGAAGAGGCTGTCAATAAATCTTTCCCTTTTTACCCTAACTGATCACAACAGCAACAAATCTCCTAAGAAATTTGAGGACCCAAATGGTGCTGTTGTTGGGCTTGGAATTGTGGCAGCTATGACTAATAACAGCAGTAATAGTAGAGCTGCAATTCTTGCAATATCTCCAAGATCAACTACTTCAAACCCAATCCCAATTTTTACTGCTAATAATAATAATAAACCTAAGAAGAAGAAGAAGAGTAAGAGGCCTAGTATTGAAGAAATGGAGATGTGTGAGGAGTACACTTGTGTGATTTCTCATGTGGGTACCAATTTGATTAAGAAAAGAGAGTATTTTGATGGTGAATTCATAGGAAACACCAACTCCCAAAAAGCTGCTGCTGCTGTCAATCATGGTGAATTTAGGACAGCTGATTTCTTGAATTCTTGCTTTCTTTGCAAGAAGCAGCTTCAGGGCTTGGATATTTTCATGTACAGGTTAGAACTTCAATTTTGCAATTTCTGCCTTCTTTTTTTCTGGGCTTTTGATTATGTTAATGGTCTCTTTGGTAATAATTTCTTGGATCTGAGATATAAATGCATGGTTAAATTCTTTGCTAATTTCCATTTTATGCTTCATATCTGTGTACTTCTGTTGTTACTTTTTGAGAATATAGTGTCACTTGCAGCTGTAAGTTTGATAAGAGGAACTAATTAAGAGGCTTTATGGTCAATTTTCCTCTTAATGAGTTGATCTTAATTACCAAAAAAATGTAATCTTTATGATGTGATCTTAATTACCATATTGGTTGGTGGTGGTTGAGCAAAATGGTTGAGTGAACTGATCATTCCATACTCTGACTGGATTTTAAGGAGAAAACTATTTCTTCTAATGTGGCCTCTCAGAACCTTTATGTTTGATGGCTTCATGAATATCTTATCTCATTTGCCTTTTTCTTTTGCTACCATTGAATATATATATATATATATATATATATATATATATATATATATATTGGAATACGTCAGTGGAGATTAATATTTTCCTTTCAATTAACTTTAAGCTGTAGTTTTTTCCTCGTGAATATGATCTGAAACTTGTGATCGTCCAAATTTGGTTTCAGCAAGGCTCTGTTGGTTGAAGAGAGTGTTAATTCTTTATGGACTTGTAGTTTGGGAAGAAGATATTCTGGTATTAATGAGTTGATCGTTTAGGTGAGTGTTGTCTCTTCATTTTGAAGGGTTAGCTTGGTCACGTGCATTAAAGTATCCAAGTAAAGATCTTAGGCATGAAAAAATTATCAAAGATTTGAGGACTGACCTTGGGAAATCGAAATCTATTAGATTGTATCAAGTGTCTCGTCTAAACTTTAAAATGTTAGGGGGAAGATACACATATTCATTTATTTATAGGATTTTTGCTTGCTATGGTGTAAAAGTAAATTGTGTATGTTCGTCTAAAAGTTCTAACTATTAAGAAAGGAGACCCTTTTACTTATTTTAGATTTACAACGAAACCTTCCACTGAACTGTGCCTTTAAATCATAAGATTATCATGACCAGTACTTTGGGCTTGTTCCTTCTTAAAGGTAGGGGTAAAAGGTCTGCGTACACACTAGCCTCCCCAGACTCCACTTGTGGGATTACATTAGGGTGGTTGTTGTTGTTGTATTCTTGGAACTTTTGCCACGTCAAGCTTCCTGACCTGCTTTATATAAGACGAGTATTTTGTGTACTTAGGGGCACTGACTAGCTCTGCTCAATTCCCTATGTTCTTGATATCTCTCTGTTATAGGGATATTCAGAATTTGTATCTACTGTTTCCGATGACCAGTTCTAAAAATCTCAAGTGATATACCTACATTTGTACTTCTTGCAACTGTTTCTTTCTTGATCATTTGTAATTCTTGCAGTTGTTAAGGCATTGCTTGCGAATTCTATAATTTTGGTCACAAATGTCATTGTTAATCTTTATTAATTAGCATTATTCTTGGGCTGTTGGCATCTTCTTCCAACTTGTATAACTTAATGCTTTACATCATCTTTACATAATGGCAGGAAAAATCTTTCTCCTATGTTTTGGATTAGGACATGTTTGCTTGAATTACACACTCAAGTTATGTCTCTCTGTATGTCAGTCGCTTACAATCTACTCAACTTGATTAATAATATCAGTGCTTCTGTCAGTAGTCATGTTATTTTACTCGCTGACATAAACTATTGCATTACTTAATTCCGTGGGAAAAAGTTGATTCTAAGTTTGTGATATTGGAAGATTGCTTCTATAAATATAAGCAACTTAGCTATTGAATAATAGCCACCAGATGGTTTTTGTGGCAACATATTGATTATGTTCACGTAAAGAAAGCTGCTGGGTATTTTAGTTGCTTGTTGCTTTCTTTAATTTGTTTGCAATCAATTTTTGTATTCGTCGTCGTGCTAGTTGTAAACTCTGTTGCTGCAAAATTAAGTTGGCCTTGCTGGAAATCTGTCTGTTAGCTTTCTCTATCGATACAATTTTCAAACTTATGACGTGTGAAGCTTTATTAGGTAGGAAAACTCCACATGGTTTTCGTTTTTTCACTAAATTTAGGCAGTTTCTTCCAGGTAATATGTGACAGGAATCTCTAATACATCTTGTTTGTATATGCATGTGGTCTGTATTATTTATGTAAGGAATAATTGAGGCTAAAATATATCTTGCTCTTCTTGACTTGTTATAGAAAAAAATCTTTCTTTAATCAACATAGATCTATCTTCTGCCTTTCAAGCATAGAATAACAACTTCTTTCCTTATAATATTTGCAGAGGGGAGAAGGCATTTTGTAGTGCGGAGTGTCGTTGCACACAAATATCGATCGATGAACACAAAGAGAAATGTGGTTCTGGAGCCATGAAATCGCTTAGCGACTACTCTGTCTCTCCTTGCTCTGGTGCAATGCAGTTTTTCACTGGCGTGGCCGTGGCATAACAACTCAAAATTGTATGGTACCTTCAACTTTACATAAATAAATAAAAGGGGCGATATATATAGGTTTCGAATAAAAATTGGTACCCACCGGCTTAAGAAAGATGTTAGATTTTTATGTTAAGGACATTCTGAGCATGCAATCTCTGCAACTCGAAGAGTAGGAAAAAACATTATGGGAAAAGCATGTAATGAAGTTTGTTAGAAACTACTTAGTGAAGAGGGTAATCTGCCAAAAGACTCATGTAAATTCCAAATGTTACATTTTAAATAGTATATTATGAAGTTGGAATACAATAACCTACTTATTAGTTTCAATTCTCAATCCGTCTAATTAACTTTGTAATCAAATTAAGATGAGTGACAAATGAATTGTTCTAATCGTTGTTGCTATCCTATTTGGTAACTCAAAGATGCAATAAATAAATTGTTCTAATCGTTGTTGCTATCCTAACTTGGTAACCAAAGATGCAGTAAATAACTTACTCTGGACACACGAGGAGTTAACTCTTCGCTTACGGTTCGGTCGAATCCAAATTGTACATACTATTAATGGAATTTTTGCATGGTATAACTAATATTTAGTAGGTAATTACCACAATTATAGTTGAAATAAATACAATATATAGCTAACGTTTGTATGTTATAGCAATTTTACTATTAACACACAATTTTCAGATGTCTCACTGCTCCTCACAACCCTAAGAACCATCTTCCTTTCCAAAACCTTTCTGCCGCCGCCACCAGATTGTCGCCACCGGCATTGTCGGAAATCACCGCCGCTGGCCGATGGTCTCCAAATGGTCCCAATTTTTCATCATCTCTTGCTCTCATCCTCTTCTACACGGATCCACAAACTCAGTTCTTTCGGTTCCTCATAGAACTCCGTAGATTTGGGAAAACCAAGAAAAATCAAAACTTTATTTCTCAGATTCGTTGAGTTGAGTTCTGATCACTTTCATCCCATGAAATGATAGATCTTGGGCAGATCTATTTTTTTATATTTTTTTTATTCCGAATTCAACGGAAAATTTTCCGACGAGCAACCGGCGAAGTGCCAGAATATACATTTTATTATATGTAATCTCTATTTTTAAGTGTAAATATAGTGATTTGTATTTTGGCGGATTTTATAATGAAAGAATTACAAGAAAATACACATGACTTCACACCATAACAAAAAATGGCCCATGTTTTTAAGTTTTACCCTACCTAGCCTATATTGTACATATTTTGAAAGCACTGGCAAATTCAAAATCTGTGTTCTTACAATCATTGCTTCTAAAAGTTATGGAGTTAAATAAGTATTCTCACAACCATTGCTTTCACTCTCTCTTCTTCTCACATCTTCTACATATGCTTCAAGGGGCTGAGTATTTTCTGCTTCTCCCCATGTGTCACCTGGTTGCAATGTAATAAAATTGAAAAGTAGAAGTCCACCATTGAAGGTCATTCAAAGCTTTGCTTTCGAAAATATGATTTTTTGAGTTTGTTAGTTGTTTTGATTGAGTGTTGTTCCAATTGATTGCAAATATCAAAAGGAGTTCAAGATTTAAATTTGAGGTGATTTGGAGTAGATTTAAGCAAGATTTAAGTTAAATTTCAGAAAAGACGCAAGGAAGAAGACGAAGTCAGTTTTTTGTATATTTTTTGTATAATAATGTATATGAGTGTATAAACACATCTTATACACTTTTATACACCTTTATACAAACGTCTGTTGTATAACTGAACTTCTTCCACGATTTTCAGTTGCAATTCTTGTTCAAAACCAGTCCAAATCTCCATTAAATGACTTCAAATTTTATATACAACCTCCTTATACTATTTCTAACAAGTTTAAATAATACCCACTCCAAAATTCTCACGAAATCAAATTTGGAATTTAAACACACATATTTAAGCTTGTTAAAAATCTAATTTTCACTACCCAAGTGGATTTGGTTTGTTGAACTAATATTTGAGTCACAGTTACTGATTCGAAAGTTAACTTAAAAGCTTGAGCAACCTTTTTTAAAAATTAACTAGTAATTTCGAGAACCTATTGGAGTTGAATGTTGAGTATCAGCCTATTATATTTGGGCTAATTTGTTGTAAATTGAAATATGGGCTATAAAATTAAAAAGTAGGGAACCCAATTGTTCTTATGTGAAATTTTCCCTTTTTATAATTATATTTCTCAAATCTGGCCGGCACAGATCTGGCTGGATTTGAGTGTATTTTTCTTTTTGAATGTAAATACAGTTGATACAACTTTGTAAATACAGTTGGTACAACTTTGCTATTAAAACTGTATTCATTGATACAATCATTATGTGCGAATGAATACAGATAATTCAGCTTTTTCATCAAAATTGTATTCATTGTGTGCAAACGAATAGAGTTGATACAACTTTCCATCAAAATTGTATTCATTGATGCACCCATTATGCGCAAACAAATATAATTGATACATCTTTTCCATCAAAACCGTATTCATTGAAACAACCTGGCAACAGATTAATACAGCGAATATGAATTTGGTTGTATGTGTTAGATACAACAAAATTGATACATTAGCTACAAATAGTAATTCGGCAAACTATAGTTACAGATGATAATTAGGCTCTAAACAGTATTTTTTGAAAAATTCTCATTATTAATTTATAACTCAATAACTTTAGAAAAGTAGAGCCCAAAATTTATACGCTTTAAATCTTCCCCCCCCCCCCCCCCCCCTCCCCCCCCGGCCCCGGCATGTTGCTATCCTGTTTTGGTAACCTAATGATGCTGCTGTAAATAACTCGCACTAACTACTTAATTAAGGATTAGTTGTGTGAAAATTATGCACTGTACTAGTGTATACTATAATTAGATATCTTTTTGAAAAAGTTGTTCAGTTAAACTTTTATTGTCAGAAAAGGACTTGTCGTATTGTAATGTAGCTTGTCTTTTGTTGACTATTTTGTTGAGAGTTTAAAGAAAACACAGTTTGGGAAATACTCTAAAAAAACCACCCCTTTTATAGGAAGGGCTTCTATTAAAAGAAAAATAAAAGATTTCATCTAGTTATATTATATTAAAAATTTATTTAACTTAATTATAATTTACTAATTATATATAATTTAATAGATTAGGTTTGAACATGTACACAACTTTTATATTGAAAGAGGTGTTCTAGCCGTTGAAAGTGGACTCTGCAACCTTTCCACACCCATTCGAGCACATGAAGCAGCGTTTTCTCTGATTCGATGATGATTAACTTGGTGGATACACAACCATTGCTTTCACTCTCTCTTCTTCTCACATCTTCTACATATGCTTCAAGGGGCTGAGTATTTTCTGTTTCTCCCCATGTGTCACCTGGTTGCAATGTAAGAAAATTGAAAAGTAGAAATCCACCATTGAAGGCCATTCAAAGCTTTGCTTTCGAAAATATGATTTTTTGAGTTTGTTAGTTGTTTGGATTGGGTGATGTTCCAATTGATTGCAAATATCAAAAGGAGTTCAAGATTTAAATTTGAAGTGATTTGGAGTAGATTTGAGCAAGATTTGAGTTAAATTTCAGAAAAGACGCAAGGAAGAAGACGAAGTCAGTTTTTTGTATAATTTTTGTATAATAATGTATATGAGTGTATAAACACATCTTATACACTTTTATACACATTTATACAAACGTCTGTAGACGAACTTCTTCCACGATTTTCAGTTGCAATTCTTGTTCAAAGCCAGTCCAAATCTCCATTAAACGACTTCAACTTTTATATACAACCTCCTTATACTATTTCTAACAAGTTTAAATAATACCCACTCCAAAATTCTCACGAAATCAAATTTTGGAATTTAAACCCACATATTTAAGTTTGTTAAAAATCTAATTTTCACTACCCAAGTGGATTTGGTTTGTTGAACTAATATTTGAGTCACAGTTACTGATTCGAAAATTAACTTAAAAGCTTGAGCAATCTTTTTTAAAAATTAACTAGTAATTTCGAGAACCTATTGGAGTTGAATGTTGAGTATCGGCCTATTGTTTTTGGGCTAATTTGTTGTAAATTGAAATATGGGCTATAAAATTAAAAAGTAGGGAACCCAATTGTTCTTATGTGAAATTTTCCCTTGTCACGACCCTAGACCCGGACCTTGTCATGATGGCGCCTCTCGTGAAGACAAGGCCAGCCGACACAACACACAATTCATTTTAAACAACTAAAACAGCACAATTTAAGTCTTTAACATAATAATAATCCCAAAAATAAAGGTGAATAACACAATTCGCGAAAAACAACCAAACACGGCCCGACATCGGGGTGTCACCAGTCATGAGCATCTAACATAAGTCTCGAAATGTAGAAAAGGGACTACAGTCTATTACAAAATCCAGAACTAGGAATAGAAATAATGACAAGAGGGAGAAACACTGGGCTACGAACGCCGAACAACTACCTAGTGGACTCTGAAAATCTGCTGGAAGCTATCAACCCTCGGTAGCAGGACCTGAAGCGCCTGAATCTGCACACAGGGTGCAGGGAGTAAAGTGAATACTCCAACTCAGTGAGTAATAACAATAAATGTAGATTGAGCGATAAGAAATCTCGTAAAACACAACAAAATGTTATAAAGAAGCAGAATAAAACCAGTAAAGTACAGTAAAGCAGTGAAATCTCATGAAAACACCTCTTAGCAGTTAAACACGTAAATGAAAGGCAGCTAGGAAAGATAAACACATAAAAACCGCCCCTCGGGCACAATAATAACAGAATCAGCCCCTCGGGCAATAACAATAGAACAACACCAGCCCCTCGGGCTATATCTCATATCACAATGGGTACCCGCGCTCACTGGGGGTGTACAGACTCCGGGAGGGGCCCCTTACGGCCCAAGCACAATATCAAGCCATCTCGTGGCATAATCACTAGGCTCTCGGCCTCATATCAACAAGCCACCTCGTGGCCTACAATATCAGGCCCTCGGCCTCATAATCATAATCAGTGTATCACTGCTGCGACGTGCAGTCCGACCCAAAAGTATCCTCACAACATAGGCCCTCGGCCTTACTCAGTCAGAATCTCATAAGCCACTCGGGCAACAATAAAACATGATGCTCAGCCCAAAAAATAATTTAAAATATTATTTGAAGTGTTAAAACAGAGTAAACATGGCTGAGTTATGCAAACAATAGAATATAACATGACTGAGTATAAGTATAAAGTCAATACAGTGAGGGAATGGCAGTAAAAATCCCCTAAGGGTCCAAATAGTTGGCACTAGGCCCAAATATGGCATTCAGCCCAAAACATGATGATAGCAAACAGTTTTCAATCAAATACGCGGTAAAACAGTCAT